CAAATTTTGGCGTGAACTAGAACAAAAAAGGTGTTCGAAAAAAAATCAGAATGCTGATAAAACTTACAAAGTTACGTCCTTGAAAAACTTGAACCTACCAAGTTTTCTTGTTTAAGTGCCTTATTTTCCTCTTCAAGTTCAGCTACTCGAGTTTTTAGAGAAGAAATCTCCTGCTCACGTTTGTCAACAGTTGCAAATTCTGACGTGGACTAGAACAAAAAAAAGTGTTCGAAAAAACCAGAATGGCATAAAACTTTTGCTAAGTGTTTATTTGTGCTACAATGAGAACAGACTCAGTACTCTGTAACACACACAAGTAAGTAAGTATCATATCTCAAAGAGGCAGGGTCATGTCTTTGAAAAACTTAAACCTACCTTTTCTTGTTTGAAGTGCCTTATTTTCCTCTTCAAGTTCAGCTACTCGAGTTTTTAGAGAAGAAATCTCCTGCTCAAGGTTGTCAATAGTTGCAAATTTCGACGTGAACTTGAACAAAAAACGTTCGAATAGAATCAAAACGGCGATAAAACTTTTGCTAAGTTTTTCTTTGTGTTACAATGACAACAGACTCAGTACTCTCTTGTGTACACAGGTAATGGCGAGTAAAAGTGCATTCATACTTTGCGACAGCCTTTTGAGCGACTAGGAAAGCACAGATATCAATCTAGCAGACGCCAGCATACGCCAGCGTTTTCAGTGACCGCCAAAAGTTCAAACTTCACGCGAAACAAAACACTGGTATGTCCCAAAACAACAGATCGATATCGACACTTTCCTATTCGTTCAAAACGCCGACGCAGAGTATGAATGCAGTCTAAGGTGAGAAGAAAAATACCTCTGATCTCTCCTTGTTCATCGAATCCAAGGACATGATAGCTTTCTCAAGCATTTCTCGTGTTTCGCTTTGTGAACGAATAACATTGTCAAGGGTGTTATACGAATCAATAAGTGATGCTAAACACGGGAATTTCATGAGATGGAGATCGTCACACTTCCCAAACAAGACATAGCATCCGTTGAAATGCAGAGGGGGTTTAATTTGGTCGCGGGGGAAGGGGGGGGGTCATGACTACCCTTGAGAAGATTTCCTAGCAGCTTAGTATCTCTGTTTTCCACTTCCGCAGTTTCCTATTTCCTATTCGAATTCGAAAATTATCCTATTTCGAAAGTCGGGACGCAATTGCGGCCGCCGCACCGATCCCGGCAGCCACAGCCGGCGCACTCGTCCAGGCCCCGCCCCCACTGCTAAAGGTAGGTTTGGGTTCAAGTATCATAAAATTTTCTGCTTCTTTTTCTACTGAGAAGCTAACTATGGAATACTGGTGCATGACAGAGTACAATTGCCCGCAATACTTGATCGCGATAATTGTCTTTAAGCCCTGCGGTTCACTGCCGATATCGGCTAAGGGGCTCATCACATT